GGTTTTTTTACCCCTAGAACCTCAAGACAGTTAGATATCCCTTCTAATTCAAGGATCTCCGGTTCCTGAACCGGCAAGACTCTTAACCTGTTACCACCAAACTGGTGATTATGAATTGAATCAATAGCTTCAACCACTGTTTCAGGTAACTCAAAAACAACAAACGCCCTATTCCCTTCCAGTGTGTATAATTTTTCTACCTTGCCTAACACCAATCGTTTTTCAATGTATTGTTGCAGTGAATCTGGATCATAAGAATCAGGCAAATTATGAAAACAAACAGACCGATCACTGAAAAGAGCCATGTTTGAGATAAAAGTATGGAATGCACAAGTTAGGGATAGAGTTAAGAATCTCAGGCCTGAAATTGCATAAATAATAAATGTTGAAATGAAAAAAAAAACTTGTATATATATATATATATTTTTTTTTTTCAATTCAATCAATGAAAGAAAACTTCACACACAAATTGTGTAAGGATGCTCTAACACATTCAGACTACTACTGTACTACTTCATTTAACTACTGATCAGAGCAGTGATGCATGCACAACACAAATTACAGTCACAACTAATACTACAATCAATGTATGCAAACAAGCAGCATCTACTCTCACAGTTCAAATCAAGCAATGGAATTTGGCTGTTAAACTATATTTATACTGAAAACAGCCATCTAAGAAAATTGAAAAAAAAAATTGATGTATAAAATTCAAAGAGGAATGAAAAAAATAACACAAACCACTTTCACTTGATATGAGCTAGACTGAAAACAGGTAATACTGAACTGTACACTACTCAATCTATTAAGTGAAATGTGTGACGATGTAGTGTGCTAGTTGAGATTGTTTTACATTGCTACCGGTAGATTTCTCTATAAGTAAAGTACAGTCCGGTGTGCACGTTTGAATCTATCCCGTGATTGGTAACTTAAAGGTAAAACTGTTCACTGTATAATTGGTCTCTTTGGGGTCTCTTACGGCTTCTTTTGGTGCGTCTTGGTCTTCTTTGGCTTTAACGGCTCCCTGTTGGTTCTTAGGATTAGTGAATTACACCAGTAAGTACATTGTTATTTGTACCTTCATAAGGCACTCGGCCGCGAAGGCGTAACAAATGACTATAATTATATACTCTTGACTGAGTCAGCTACGTATTGCTATTTATAACAACACCCAAATTTGCACTACGGTTGACTGAACAGCATCCACAAACGGGCAATATGAATGCTACAGTTCAACTGTGGAAACGATGGAAATTCAGAGTGTGAAATAAATCAAAACTACCGTCTAGCTATTAAAAAACAAAACTACTGGTACGCGTTTGATCGATAACTGATTTAATTCTCGTAAGATTACCATCCGCCCCCTTCCTTATGAATAGGTATTACTTTATCAATACAATGCAACCGACGTGTAGCCGCACGTTAGAAGACAATAGGGAGGTTTAGCAAACGACGAACAACGAAGACGAAGTACGAAAACTAGGTTCGTACGTCATTAGTCGTAGCGGCCGTTTCGCAAACGCCGAACAACGAATACGAAAACAATAGAGGTCGCTTGTGTGACAAGATGGCTTCCATTATTGATTTGGTGGTACAGGCGCTTCTTTTTGACGCTGATTGTGATGACATTTTACCGTTTTTATGTGAAGAATTTCAAGAATTTGCAGATGCAATTCACAACAAAGGGGCGCCTCTGAAAAATTGCGTCGGATTCGTGGACGGGACAGTGCGGCCGTTGTGTAGGCCAACATTTTTTCAGCGTGTCTGCTACAATGGTCACAAGCGTGTTCATGCCATCAAATTTCAATCCATTGTCACGCCAGACGGGTTGATTGCGAATCTGTTTGGGCCCGTGGAAGGAAGACGCCACGATTGCTTCATGCTGACCCTTAGTGGCATTCTAGAGGACTTTGAGAGGGGCCAGTGGATGGATCGAGATGGCGACCCATTCAGTATATATGGGGATCCAGCATACCCTCTTAGAGACTTTCTCATACCCCCATACCGCACAGCAAATCTGACACCTCAGCAAGAGCTCTTCAATGCTGAAATGTCATCCGTGAGGGAGTGTGTTGAATACTTGGGATACTTGTAAACTGCCACACATGTTTGNGAGGAAATTGTTTGTTTGAAAGTTATCGCCTTTTGAAGTAAATAACCCATTGAAATATGGGCTGATTTAACGTAAAAGATGATAAAATCAAAAGTAAATAGTTTAAGACAATTCCCTGGTACCACGCTGTAGTGCTGTCACCCAGCTTTATGAGGCCTTTTGAATCACTTGAATAGCTGTCTTGGTTATAGAGAAAATCCCAATACCGAAAACGGCATTTTTCCCCTCAAATTGGCGCCAGAGCGTCATCCGTTGGACACTGTACTTAATCCCCGTCTTTAATTGGCCTTTTGGGAAGTTTGTTTTAATTTTTTATAAAAACTTATAAGCCCAGGGCTTTGTTTCTATGACTTTGGTCCTTTTACTATCAGTCACCTTAAGACCATTTCTATAATGATTTTGACCATGTAAGATCATTTGTGATCTGAAGTTGCAGATTCAGACCAATTCAGGCACACTTGGGTTTATTATTTATGCTGCATATTTTAGGCATTCTACCAGAGAGGACTGTCCAGAATTCGCCTAAAACAAGGTAAAGGTATTCAGGACTTCAACAGGGCTTTGGCATTGGATCCAAAGATATTCCAGGTAAGGGCTTAAATGCATTGGTCTTGATGATGTATTTTATGATATCTTATATTCATATTTATTTGACCAAAACACATTTCTGTCACTGATATTCTGTTTGAAAAGAGATATATTCTTATCCAAATATATTCAGTTGATTTCCTTAAGACTTTTTCATATAACTTTATCTTTGTCTCAATCCTTCTTGTCCACACAGGTTTATCTGAGCAGAGCAGCCTACTATGGTTTGAGAGGACAATACAGCAAAGCCATTCTCAACTGCAATGAAGCCATCAAACTACAACCAAACAGTGTTAGGGCATACTTGTTCAGGTACAGTTCTCTTTTTATGTATTGTCTGGTGTGATATGATTGTCAAGTGATACAATAATTTTATCAGGACTGTTTTATTCATCCCAACAACAAATAAAATTTTATAATTTTAATTTAACCAATTAACTTTCCTTTTTCCACCTTGGTCCAGACCTTGGAGGATGGTCTTTGATTCCACCCTTAGCAAAATACTTTGGGGCTGGTTTATTTATTGAAAACCGAATACATAAATTCACAGCAGCATTGTTCTTACAGAGGGGCCCTGAAATACCACATCAAGGCATACCAGCTTGCTATACGAGACCTGACCAAGGCCACTAGTATTGACAGCACATGTGCTTTAGCTTACTTCAACAGAGCAGTTTGTTACCATGACAGCAAGAACCATGCAAAGGCACTGCAGGATTATGGGATAGTTCTGTTGCTAGGGGATGCTTTGAGACTCAAGGTGATTTCTTATGAAACATTTTTCTCCAAGGTGCTAAAACTCTTATTTGAATTAAGTTGAATTGAAAATTGCTTCACATCATGGCTTGCAGAAAAAACATACATTTTGCCTCCTAACCTATTGTTGCATAAGGGTTTTGATCGTGATTTTTCAATTTTTATAAAAATATTATATATACAAAATGCAAAGATGTTTATTCTGTAATCCAAGGCCTCTGACCCAAAATGCAATTTCTTTGATGTTTTAACCACTAGTAGCAATGCTCTAAGTATATGTGTACACAGAAAAAAATGCATGGACGTTAAATAATATTACTCTTCCCTAATAATAGGTTTTGATCAATCGTGGTCTGCTGTACTTTGACCGAGATGACTACAGAAATGCTCTGCAGGACTTCCTGCTGGCCGCAAAGATTGACGCCAAGAACTGCAAGATCTACCACACCATAGGACTCTGCTATCACAAGTAAGTCCATGGGATAAATTTCATGTCTCAGTGTGAGTGCCTATGTCAGACTACTAGAGTTGTAAGATACACTAAACCACAGGTCTTTGTCATCAACACCTGTATGTGATGTTAAGGCAGCCTGCCCAGTTAACATTGTCCTCATGCCAATTGCCAGTAGAATTGAATTCAGGCCAATGAAAAATTTTAAAAGATAATTACTGGTCACAATGTCTGCTCTGGGTCATTAGCCTCACCAACCTGTATACCTGTAATTGACCACATTTGTGTTGTGTAATCAGGTTGAACTGCCTGGAGGATGCTGTGAAAGCCTTCTCAGTGGCCCTGACTCTGGACAAGTTCTTCCTAGAGGGGTACATTGGTCGTGGTAATGTCCTCATGGATTACGGACACGATGCTGGCCTCAAGTTTGCAAGGTATGGGTATTGCTCACAAATTTCAAACAACAATGTTATTGCAATGATACATTCTATCACAATTTATCAATTTCAGTCAGGAACAAAACACACCTTCAGGTAATTTTTTCAGTCACATCCAATGTTTTATCTTACGTGTAATTATGAGTTTTTTTATGAATAACTGATATCTGCCTGAAGTACCACCAACCTTTGTTGAGTGCTTATGCTGTCACATTGAAATAAGAAATCATCTTTCCAGGCGTGATTATGAGCGTGCCCTGCAACTGAACCCCATCTACCTCCCTGCGCGTGTGAACCTGGCTTACAACCTCCAGGTGTGTGGGAAATATATGCATGCCTGGAGACAGTTCACTGCCGCCCTCACTGCTAACCCATGTAAGTATACCACTGTTACTCCGAGTTTTCACATAAAACTACATGCAGTTATCACTGCTAACCCATGTAAGTATACCATTCTTGTAGCAAGTAAGCACTTATCACTAAAGTTATCACTGTAAGTAGTTGTAAGGTTAGCACTCATATACCAAGTATTTGCCAGTAACTACAGTTATTGATTTAAGTCTGTGTAAGTATACCACTCTTATACCAATTATCACATGTAAATACAGTTATCACTACAAGTTTATGTAAGTGTACCACTGTCATACCATAAGTTATCAGATATCACACCAGTTAACTTCGTAACTAAAAGTATATGAAAGTATGAATGTTATACCAAGTTTACAGTTATCATCTGCAGTATGTAATACATGTCCTATGTCATCACATCACTACAGTTATGACTACTGGTACTGATTATGGCTTTAAGTCCATGTAAGATATTTTCTATTTATTTTTTGTAAATTTTAGACTACAAGCCAGCACTAGAGGGCAGAGCTATAGTTAACCTCCAGATGAGTGATACATTTGCAGCATTCCAAGATATCAATGCCTCAGTAAGGGTGGTGCCCTCTGCTGAACTGCTCACCAATAGAGGGGTCATCCATCAGGTAAGTTTTGGCCTTTAAGTGGTTGACCATCAGGCAGTTGAGGGCCTTGTAAGGAGATGCCCATCAGGTTAATTCATCAGTACTTTTATGTTCAGTTTTACTTTATTTATCTCTGAAAGAAAAACAATTCCTGATACTTGTATTTTTATATATTTATTGTCTGGATAAATTGTTGTCTCGATGGTTTGAGTTCATCTTCTTATGCTGTTGATGCCTTGAATAAGATGTAGTTTGGTCCAAATTAATGTTTCATTTGTATTTTACAGTTTATGGGAGACAAGGCCAATGCCATGCGGGATTACCAGCAAGCCATCTCTATTGACCCGTCCCATGCCTTGGCCTACTTCAATGCAGCCAACATCTACTTCCAGATGAGGCAGTTTAAACAGGTAGGAGGATCAGTAAATATGAGACCCCTTGCATGAAATTTAACAGTTGACTAGTATTAGTAGGAGTCTGTGAAGGCTCAGCCCTCGGGCAAGGGGGCTGGGGGGAGTGGAGGGTTTAAGGGGTTGTACATCATTTAGTTGTCTTCTGTGAGAGGTCTTTTTTGTTACAGGGTCCTCCATGCTAAATTTTTATTTCAGATGTACAGGTGAATTTTAGAAGTAAAAGGAAGTAATCTCAGGTGTTACATAGCTTATGCTGACTTTTAGAAACCAGCCACTATACACTGAAAATTGTACAATTGAATCTTTCACCTTTGCAAAATTTGTTTTGTGTATCTGTTTTGATGTGTATTAATCTGTGCCAAAATGCTTTAATTAATATTTAAAGTTTTTGTTTCACCTTTAATTCTCTATTTTTCCAGGCCCATGCTCACTATGACAAAGCCATTTTGTTCAATCCCAAAGACGAGTCAGCACTTCTGAACAGAGCCATTACTAAGGTAGGGAAATTTGCTTAAAGAAAAGTCACACAAGTATGTGATGTCTTTATAAATATATTTTCAGAATTTTCAGAACTTTCAGTATTTGTGATCAAAATTCCTTAAGTAAACTTTTATCCCCCAGTGATACATAATTTACAATGACTTACTGTCCCTTTTAGGTGCTGCTGCGAGATTCTGCTGGTGCCTTGGATGATTTCAAGGCTGCTGTCAAACTGAGCCCCCATTCTGCTCATATGTACTTCAACAGAGGAAACCTGTACTCTTCCCTCAAACAATTTGACAAGGCTGAGAAAGATTATACAAAAGGTAACACTGACACTTTGCTAATAATTACAGCTATTTTACTTTTTTCATTTGTGTATAATCCAAAATTTAGTTGTTAATGAATAAAATTATAATTCTAAAAATTAAAATTATAATTTGATAATAATGAAAATGATATTAATGAAAAGTATAATTAAGTTTAATTTTAAAAGAATTATAAGTTATTATGATTAATATTGTCATTATTACTTTCATTGTCTTAACTATTGTAATTATTTAAAATTATCATTATTATTAGTAATTACTATTATAAGTAATAAGCCCCATCAAAGTTATTATTATTGTTGTTGTTGTTATTATTATTATTATTATTATTATTATTATTATCTTCACTACAGCCTTGACTTTGCAACCTGATGATGCTCTGGTTTACAAAAGGCGTGCAGATGTCCGTGGAAAGCTTGGGAAGAAAGCAGAAGCCATTGCTGACTATAAATATGCTATCGAAATCCAAAGCAAGAAAAGAGCCACCATCGATGCCAACTCTGTCACATTCAAGCCTGGGTCACATAGCAAATGAGATAGTATTAACATAAGAAACCAGTGAATGAAAGAGTTGCAGGTTTTGTGAACAATATGCAGTAATATACTCATGAATTCCAGGCCCACAATTTACAGGGCTACATGCAGAAATATTCCAAGTTTTCTAAGTAAAGACAATGACCCTGTGGCCACGTGCATTGCACTGACATTAATCTGTGATATGATCTCAGAAATCCATTAATTCAATCGTAAAATTTTGATTTTGATTATTATTATAAATACATATTTTAAAGGTGAAATGACAATGTTTTTTAAGATGAGAGGTGAGAACATTGTCATAGTTTGGGACCAATGAATAGTATATTTAAAACTTTATTTGGGTGGGGAGGCTGGAGAGAGACACTTTAAAGGAGCCAAAACACCAAACCTAAAATGCTGTGATTATGTACAGTTTTACATTTATGTTTCTTAATGTTATAAAGTTTAAATTTATTTTTAAAAGTGTACATATTTATTGTATATATGTACTTTGCTGTATTTGTAGCATAAATACATGCTTGACTGGAGCTACTGTTATGTTCATTTCTACCAAGTATTATAGTTTAATGTAAACCTTAAAGTATCCATGTCTCTTTCTAAGCAAGGCAGACTTGCCAGACTTTTTGTACCATCATTGCAAAATTCTCATTGCAGAGATATAAATACTAGGATGTTTAGATGACAGGTAAGTTTTGATATGTAATTTAAACTGATGGACACATACTGTAGCATAATGGCCAGAGAGAGAGCTGTGCCATTTACAATGACCAATTCTAAATACACATTCATGCTTAGTATTATTACAAAGTGAACATGACAGGTCTCGTTTTTTATTTTGCAGGCAAATCTATTCATTTTCAAATGTTGATGTCCTTTCCATCAACTTATATCAATTTGGAACATGTTAATCATTTGCTGAAGGACCTAGATATTACAGACAACTGATGAACTGCAAAATTTAGTGAAAGCCACGTGATAGTTTTACTGTTCTATAGATATGATTGCATGCTTTAAACAAACACAAACAAAAATGTAATATATTTTGAAACTTTATTACTAAATTTAACTGTGTTCATATAATGTTATAACAGTTTACAAATACAATTGCACTTGTGAGAAACACGACTGAGGGGGTCAAAGCATTTGTTGCACTTGACACAACATATAGACCAATGAAATACTGATATGACCTCTTGACATCATATGTGTTTAGACAAGAAATATTCTTGACTGCAAAGAGGTCTTAAATGTGTTAGCACATGACCAGATATCTTAAGGAGCAATGGTGCCTCTATTCTGGCTGCCTAGTGACTTTTGATGGATTTCTTAAATCAACTTGGTATGACAGCAGGAACCCATTTCACAAAAAAGTCTCAAGTCAGCTTTAAGACTGAAATCTTAGCCCAAATCGTGTTACACAAAGGCTGCTCAATTTATTTTTGGTCTTTTTTCTTAGCCTCATGCATGCATTGTGATGGTCTCAGTGGCAACTTTAGCCCATTTAGGAATTTCAAATACATTTATTGTGGACCATCTTTCGTAAAGCTCCTAAGTCAATACGGGAAAAAGGACTGCACTGTCTGCTGTCCAACTTTAGCAATAAAACTTAAGTTTAAAAACTTTTTGTGTGAAACAGGTTCCAGCATCATAACAATGAAGACAAAAAGACAGTTGCAGTAAACTTGCACTTTGTCCTACTAGTTATATGTCAAAAAGCCACCAAAAGCAGCCTGTCCGTTCTGTCCATGATTGAAACTGAATTTTAAACTATCATAAAATGAAAAACAGAGAAATATACCCCAATATCACTGGTGAAACTGCTCTTCTCTAGCCCCAGGTACAGAATGGTTCTCCATTTCACAGCAACTGGGGTTTACTGACCAAAAAGAGGATATATTCTGAAATGTTTGGGGATGAAAATTACATAACTCTACTGTCACATCTTTGGGTACTAGGTTCAAAATCTTATACTTCCCTAGGTTATTTCTGTTGAGCCTAAAATGTTCCCTTACTTAACTGAAGCTGCCTTTGCTTGACCTTTTTCAATTTTTTTTCTCTTCTTCAGATCACCTTGGAAATTAAAACTCCCTTACATTCTTCAGAATAAAAAACACCTGCTTTCACCACTTATTGCTTGATGAAGTATAATACATATTTACAAAAGAAGCCATAACCTGTTGATATTAACTATAACAAGATGGCAAGGATGACCTTGCAGTATTTACAAATGACATGTTTTGAAACTTTTCCTTCACAGAAGGATCCAGGCATACATCAAAATTGGCTACTTCACTTAAGTGGATTACACCCTACCAATTGTTAGTAAGATAAATCAAAAAAAGCATGGGTAACGAAAAAACTAGCTGCTGAGTCTAGATTCTTCAGCACACTTAATGCTACAAATATGCCAAACAATCACCAAATGCATAAGACTATCATGACTGCTCTGATTTGCTGGGCTTACATTCAAAGTTTGAAATAAAATATTTCCTACTCTGTCCCATAGCAGACTACTTGAACAAAGGTCATTAAATTATTGCCAAAATGCAGCCAAATGTCGTCTGACTGATCTTTCCTAATACATACAAATATTCTTTCACTAGAGTTTCACTATGAGATTTTTAAAAAATATGTGAATATTTTAGAAGATACCAGCTCTCCTGTACTTATTTCTTCCCAAGCTTCATGGACAGATCTAATTATGCTGCAAAATCAGACGCTAATAAATATAATAACAAGAGAGTATTTCATCCTCATTAGAACATGATATCAATATAAATCACATTCTTCATCATTACTGCCCACTGCATCACTTTTCCTCACCTGTAAACCACTCAAACAATTAAGATTGAGATCACAATCAGAAAAGCGTGTATAAACTGACTCTGTCAGTGTTGAGAAGACGAGAGTGTGGAAACGCCGTGCATTCAAGAAAGGCACTCTTAAAAATTGATTGCATATTTCAGAACAGGTGCATGGGTGCATACTTCAACAACGAAGCACAGCTTCTGATGTTAACAATGTGTGATGGAAAAGAAACATCTTCAACATGAACCCTTCTATGATGTCAGTTGGAAAGTACTAAAAGACATAACAGCTGAATGTAAACTGCAGTTTTACCAGGGCCATCCTCAATTCTCTGAAAGACCATAATGCACACTAATGGCAAAGTGAAACCAGTCTTCAAATATAGATGGCAGCACAGTTCCACAGCCTGATATACTTCTAAAAGGCCATTCACAGCCAATCAAAATGGAAGCTGGCAACATCTTCCCACTACAGCAAAAGATTTTTGGATCACATAGCAAGCTGTGTGAGAAATTTTCGAAGGAATTTTCCTCTGAGTGTGCAAGTTTGGAAGCCATGTTAACACTGTGGAAATGAGAGCAGCGTCTCTAAGATACACTTCTCCTTCAAAGTGCCGTCTCCAAAGGTGGTGGCTGCTCTTCTTTTATAATTCGTAAAGACCTCTTGAACAGCTCCCCCTCTGATCCAGAAGAGTCGCTCTCATTGGCCAGGAATATGGAATTTAGAGGTAGCGCGGGGGTGAGACGGGGGCTGCGTCTCTGAGCCGGGGAGATCCTGCATTTTCCATCTGCGGGCCACAGCGAGGCCCCGTACCGTGACCCGCAAGCCTCCTGTCAAATGAGCTGTGTGTGCCGTATGTGAACCACACATGCACCTGCACGCCCCGTGCACAATGGAGAGACCTGAAACAATAGAGATACATCTCACTGAATGACAAGTTTTGTAAAACGAAAACAGTAAAATTTAATGTTGGTCATTTTTTAGTATATTTATATGTTTTTAAAACCATGGTAGATGGCTAGAACAAAAGACCCAGATGTGGTGTACCATGCATGAATGCGAGTTTTAACACACTTTGTGACACCTGGGTCTCTGGTTCTTAACTTGGAGAGCTCTTCAGTTCTATGTCATCACTGCCTTGACCTTAACCCAGTCTTCATCAGAAGCCTGTCAACTGAGCAGGCTTATTATTTCTGATTTGCACAAAAGTTCTAGATCTCTGAGGAACAAATTAGTAGGAGACTAATCAGTCAAATGGACAATCCATCACTCAGAACTCAACACAGCAATTCTGTGCTGCCGTACACACAGACAGCAGAGAAAGTGCAATTAATTCTCAATCGTTAAAATTAGGATTAACAGAAGAGATTACCAGTCATCCATCTAATGGGTTCGTGTGGTGAGTTTTGATTGAATCATTGCCCATTCTCATTATGTGTGTGTGTGTGTGTGTGTGTGTGTGTGTGTGTGTGTGTGTGTGTGTGCCAGTGTGATTCATCTTACTGGTGAAATATGAAAACTGAAGGTATATACTGCAAGAAGCACATCAAGTCAAGGAAATGACATGGAAGCCAACTGCAAATAAAGAAGCACTTGAATGCCCTCTTAGTGAATGCTTTAGTGCTATGCACTTTTCACAAATTACCTGCAACACTTGTAAGGACTCATTTCAGTAATACAACCCATTTTATAATACTGATATCAGCCCACTGAACACTCAGAAAATCCCATTTTTTTATCAACAACTGCTCCCAAAATGTGGTTACATATATTACCGACACCATAAGGTACCAAATCTCTTCAAGAAACCCCCTTCCAAGTTTTCCAGCCAAAACATAATTCTGCCTATTTCCCTAAAGTCTCATATATTTAGTTTTTTTCCTTCTTTCCATGTTCATCTCATCAATCAAATCGAAGTCCCATTAATAAATCAACAGACTTCATGTAACAATTAAAATCCAGCTCCCAAATTGGAAACCATTTACTTTCATTTATTTCCCCAGAGAGCCGAGGTTGTGAAGAAACTCATTTCTCATCATGGGTCTGTGCAATCTACTTTGTGTGCACCAGAAAACAATCACGGTCACACTCAGTATGTTACACCTGCTATATTATGGCTAAGAATAACACAATTTAAGTAGAATGTATATCCTGATGCTTATGCAGATGTGCAAGCTCAGGAAAAAAGGAAAGAAGTAATTTTGACTGCAGATAATATTTTGGCAGAATATATTTGGTGTGGGGGGGGGGGGGGGTTGCTAGAATTTTTGCCACAATATATTGTGTCAAATTCATCTTTTCTGTATATAATGAAGTCTTTACAAATATATTTACAAATATTAATTCAATAATAATGAACATGTATGAGAAGCATGCATCTGTTATAGAATAATCCATCAATAATTAAATCAGTCCCCGAAGCATGTCATCTTCAGTAACAATTCATGTAACAATTATATATATACGAGACTAAGGGGAAATTCATAGGCAGTATTATATTTTGGCTGGAAAACTTGGAAGGGGATTTGTTGAAGGGATTTGGATACCTAGTTGTTTAAAATCTACCTTTGTCCATTCATTGGTATTTGGATCGTAGCATTCCACATCAGCGAGGTACTGCGTCCCGTCATATCCACCCACACAGAACAGCCGGTCCCCCAGGGCACACATCCCCACAGCATCCCTCATAGAGCTGATGGGGGCCACCGTGGTCCATACGTCTGTCTTGGGGTCATATCTGGAGGTAAGAAAATAGTGCAACATATATAACATGTATAATATGAGTACTACCACTTATGAAAAACATGACTGGATGACTTATATAATAATAATAATAATTCATTGTCATTTTTATACAGTAAAAGTATTAGATAAAAATAAATATGATCTTATCTACATAGTAAGTACAACATAACATCCTTCAGAGTTGGCGTAAGCTACTATGTTCCTTGCAATTATCTGATATAAGGCATATCTGGGTACCATCTTCTTACCCTTTACACTATACACTATACTAACCTTTCAACACAGTCAAATCTACTGGAAGTCGGATTACTGGCCGGAGCATCATGGCCGCCCACTGCATAGAGAAACCCATTAAAAGAGGCCACACCCACCCCGCCACGCCTCTTGGACATAGGCGCGCAGAGGTTCCATTTGTTGGTGTGAGGATCAAAACACTCCATGGACCTGAGACATGAGCTGCCATCGCGGCCACCAACTGCATACAATCTGAAAATTGTCATATTAGATATGATAACTACTTGCTTCAATTGAACAAAATGTATTTATTGTATTCTCCAAAACAAATATTTTATGCATTGACTTGAAAGTCCTGAAAAAGGAGTTGGCTTCTAGTCAAGAAGTGCATTTTGTTAGTGACTAAAATGATAGATTTTCGAAAGTGAAACAATAAAATGAGTGAGACATTTCGAAATTCAAGGGATTACCAGATTATAGATACATTTTTACTAGAATCCTTGAAAACTGAAAAATGATTTCATTCTTAGTCTATTTCTATCATATGCTTTTAATATAATTCTTTTTTTTAATCTTAAATTGTTTGATTTCACCCTGACTTAAGACATTCTAATACTTGATAAAAGAAATCATAAAAGTTCTGAAAGAAGCTTCAGCTTTCTGCTGAGGTCTTAATAGTTTTCACTGTGTCCAACAGATGGCACTGGCACACACAAACACAAACAGAATAGTGCTTACTTCCCACACATAACAGTGACTCCTACAGTACTCCTCTGTGTGGACATGGGGGCCACATAGCTCCACTGCCTGGCCTGGGGATCCCACCTCTCCACTGTGTTCAGGTAGGACCAGCCATCATGGCCCCCTACTGCATACATTGGACCCTCTAATACCCCAACACCTGAGACAAAAAATACCAAATCAAATCATTATCATATGGAATAGATTTAGAGATGAAAGTGGACTTTTTAAAAAAAATTCAGAAAATGCAAGCACCAAAGGACCATAAAAACATCACTCAAATATCTGTATTTCCATATAAATAAAGAAGACTTTCATCTCTAGAAAATTGTATGCGTGCATGTGTGTGTGTGTGTGGGGGGGGGGGGGGGGGGGAATGGAACTTAGCGCTAACTGAGCTTGTTACAAACAGGTCCAAAGAACTGACATTTTTCGAATGAGTTACAGCAAAAACAGGAGAAAGGAAAGCCATGAATATGAAATTAAATTATGAAAGCAACCTTATCTACCCAATTCACTGAGCAAGCAATTCAATTAACTGTGTTAAAATCTAAAACCAATTTCCTTGTCAGAAAAAAAGGGGGGGGGGACTCATCTTAGATATCTCAATTAATCATCCAGATGCCACTATTTCAGAGAAATCTGAGGCGATTGCCATGCCCTGCACACGCAGGTAACAAAGCCAATTTAATCATGGTGCCAGCAATTGCATGTCGAAGCTCTATCTCTGGTTCACCAAAGTGCACTTTCCAATTAACTGGAAGCCATTAGGAACCTTGGTGCACCAGGGTTCAATAGGAAAGACTTCTGCTTGAGGCAAAGACATGCACATTTTAATTCTGGTTATCAAAGTGAAAGTTGGTCTAAACTTTTAGACTGAAATCTGAGTCTACTTTGCCCCAGAAGATGAATCTGTAGTAGTTCAATTAATTGAAATCTTGCTTCTGTTTTATAACAGGACAGATATAGCCCATGTTTCAAACTAACATTTATTTTATTTCATTTTTAGTGGACTATTATAGATTTATCCTAAACTGAGAATAACAAAAAGCAAACATTAATTTTCAGGATAACGTTTTCTTGTGAAACTTCCCCATGCTCTGTTCAGATAACACAAAATCAATTGGTTCTAACTTTACTAGAAATGCACCTTAAAAACCAGCACAAGGCCAGTCAAGATACTCACCCAGTCCATGCCTGTGTGTTGACATAGGTGGCATTAGACTCCACGTCTTCTTCCTGGGATCATAACACTCCACAGTATTCAGGGTCTTCAGGCCGTCCCTGCCCCCCACCACGAACAGCTTGTCCTCCAGGACGGCAACCCCAAACTGCAGACGTCGGCCATTCATGTTGGCCACTTGGGTCCAGGTGTTGGCACGGAAGTCATATTTCTCTATGCTGGTGGCACCTGTGTGTGTATGATATATGAGAATATTTGGTCATTTTTTGGTTTTCTTTGTTGAAAAACTTACCAGATATCTGCCATCAAAAGCATACACTTTAACCTCTAAACTGCCTCTCAAACGACGATGTTTTTTCTTTTATATTTCTATTTTAGTTGTATTTAACATTAAACATCCTTATCCCACTACAAAATTTGTATTCTCCAAAAGCCTTCAAATCTTCTATATCCTGGTCTGTAGATTCATATCTAATTTGTTTTGATGATAACAAAGTGCCCAAAACAAATTGAGGAGATCACAAAGTAATATCATTCTATATCCTCCCGACACCAGCAAATCAGTCCCCTCTGGCCTGCTCAGACAGGGATAACTTTGGACAGATATTGGTCCTACTTGTGTTAAATAGAAGACCAACTACATGGAATTCAAAAGTCTGCAGTGTAACTGGGAATTGTCTGACAGACTCAAGTTAGATCCAATAATTCCAATCCATAATAGTCTTTATCCTACCACAATTCATTGTGGCAACAGCTTATCTTTTCAGCTGACTGAGAGAGAAATGAAGAAAATGCTCTCCTGTTAACCAAGTAAGTCCTCATCAGCAGATAGCCAGGCAATTTAGCTCCAAGATCTCCACCCAAGCAGGGTTATCAACAGAGATAATACTAGATTTGAATAGAACAAATTTCTGGTTATTCCAAAGGCATTCTTTGGCCTTTTTAAAATCTGTGCTTTACACACATACATATATGTATCAAAACACTTAAAACTCGTCTTAACATGTAATTACACTATTGAGGAGGTGGGGTGGGGGAGGGGGGGGTGTGCCCCCCCTTTTGCAAGTTTGCCTTCAACAGTTTGGATCAGTCAAATTCAATCAGGTTAACTAGCAATGCCCAGCACAGGGATTCCATTTCAGTGACTCTTAAAAACAAAGTGACTTTTTTTTATACACATAGTGACTTACTCTCTTAAAAACAACCTGCTTTATTAAAACAACTTAGAGAGGTTGTCATAATAAATGGAAGTGCCAGAATGTATTGAGATTACCCCACAATTGAACAGCAAAATAACAGACTAATTCATAATCAGTGACATCTAATGTTAAATAAATGATTAAAGTAAGAGTTAAGTGACAACAAAATTAATCACTCAACACAACCTAATATCAACCACCAGTATAATAGAACCCAGCTATAAATGTGCCTGTTCTTACTTAAAAAAAAAATAATAATTTTCATAAAAAAAGAAAGATTAAGCAACAAAGAATTTTATCAGCTGTGTTGTACATCTAAAGTGACAATAATAATTTCTTCAAACACCAGCTGAACTCTGCATTATTTACACTGCAATGGATGTAGCCTCATATCCATTAGGAAGTGTCTGGTGAGACACCAATATATTGAAGTGCAAATAATTCCGTTGTTTGAAGAAACTATCAAGTTAACAGAGGCAAACAACGCATGTTAGACCTTCTTAAAGCTGAGGAGAACATTTTCCAGGAAACTTCAGCAACATTCTCTTTATCACAACATGCTGTACCCTATCCAAATCTGTTGAGAAAATCACAATCTATAAATTTGTTTTTTAACTTCTGTATTTCTTATTCTTATCACCAAAGGCGGTGTTCAACAGTGTGCATCTTCATTATAAGAGTGATTCCAAAATAAGAAACTCCAAGAAAACAAAGGATTATAGATTGTGATTGTGTCATCAGTTTTGTATGCAGCAAACCTAGGGTGATCAAAAGCCAAAGAGTCAAAATTTCCATGAATATAAACAATCCTCTACATAATATACAAAGGTCTAAAGCTCACTGTGTGCCTTTAAAGAAGTAAGCAAGATTAAAGCAACTAAATAAAAAGGTTCAACTTACACTCACCTTTGGTGCAGTCCATCCCTCCAACGGCATACAGGACGCCCACCGTGGACTTCCGAGGCTTGGTGCGAGGACTTTGGAGGGAATGGCGGCGTTCGGGGAGGAGGTGGTACTTCAAGGCCTCCATTATCAGTTCCTGACATTCTCTGTCTTCCTTAAATAGAGCATTAGTTTCTACGTGGTCCGCAATGAACTGAAAAAGGGATGAAGGGGATAAGCTGTCAAGACACTGACTGGGATGATTCTATTATATTGGGGCTTGTTTTACAAAAACATAAAAAAGCACAAAATAAATTAAAAGTGGATCAAGGAAAGAAGCTGTCAAATTAAAATAGCTGATTTTGTGAAACTGAGCCTATTTGCACACTGGAATTGGATTTAGTCCTTTAGATACACATTTTATTACTGAACAGGTTTAAGTGTAAGTATGCATCTAAAGGACTAAATCCAATTCCACAGAGGAAAATAACAAATCAGTAAGGTGTAGAAAAATACCCACTATCACCTCTGTTAACATTACCAATCCTGAATGGGTCTGAACATTTTGTGACATATTTTTCATTCCAACAAGTTCAGGTTTTAAGTATGCCTCTGAATGTTACTTATCAAAATGAAACAGCAAGTAAGCTGGGGAAGCAACAAAAGATCTTTAAAGGGAACCATATTTCACATACTACACCAGATTCTACTTTTTAACTCAGATTTTCTATAAAACTTGGCCATTGATCAATTCACACCTCAAGGCTCTGTGCTTAACTGACTCGGCAAGATTTCTTTGTGAATCTGCCAATCAATTATTCCATCCACCAACTGACCAATGAACTAACAAACCAAGCTGTCAATCAGTCAGTCAGTCCATCTATCAATCAATGCATCAACCAACCATCCAAACAATCTCACCTGTGGAGGTAATAATGGCAGTTTGACATTGGCGAGTAATTTACTGAGGTATTTTTTGCGTGTGCTCATGTCGTGTTTTGCCCACGTGCACAGCGCATGAAAAGTCATTTCTTCATTTGGCACGTTCAGATCGTCATTTGTAAGGAGTTTGGACACCTCATCTGCTGACAGCTCGCAGAACTCCTGATTTTGCATCACATCACAAAAGTTTTCCTTCAAGAATGAAAATAAAGAGATAATTATACTGCTGTTCTTTTTTAACAGAAATATTGGGCTCTTCCCACGATTTCACCCATCAGAAATCTCAACTTACCAAATGGTCTGTGACATCTGATCATCTGAAGAAATGGGTTCGATACATAATAATTACTATAATAACTATTATTACTATTATCTTTATTTTTCTTATTACTATGATTATTATTATCATCATTATCAGTTTTATGATCTTCCTCCAAATAATGCAATGAAAATATTCATTATTATTATTATTATTATTATTATTATTATTATTATTATTATTATTATCTGTATCTTCCCTTACCATGACATAGTTATTGGCGACTTTATACAGATCTGTACATCCCTGAGCATCGGCAAACTGCCGTATTCCTAAACAGTTGGAAGGATGAAGCTGCTTCATGAGATAGCCGCAGCACGCTTCCACCACCTCAGACAGCTGGAGTAAACACGCCGTGGACAGAAGGCTCTCCACAGACTCATCTCGCAGCTCAATTCTGCCTGGAAGTAGAAAAATAATGATATGATGGACTCGTCACTGAGCTTTGTGTTTTTTGTAAGTAAAAATGTACAGCTGTGACAAATTCATCTCAGCGCACTGTTCCTTCAGAAAGTATAAATATAAGGACATGTCAGACTCATCACAGAGCTCAATATTTCCTGAAAGTAAAAATGTCAACACATAGCAGACTCATCTTGGAGTTCAACTTTCCTAAAAGTGAAACTATCAAGACATGACAAATTAATCTCAGAGTTCAATTTTTCCTGAAAGTATAAGTATAAAGTAAGGCCATTGTGGTATATGAGGAGAAGTGCCAGTGATGGTGGTGATAGGGTTTTGTATATCCAGCAGTTGAGGTAGAGGTTCCTGGCCAAACCCATGGTACCCTCTAGGTGTGGGCTGGTGGTCAAATTACAGTGGCTAGCTAAAATGGGTTTGTAGACTTCCCCGAAAACAAGTGCCATGCAATAAAAATAGCATATACATAGCATACACATATGTAAACCATTTCACATATTTGCATGAAACAAAGTGCTGCATATTCTTGGATGAGTTAGCACATAACATGTACAGCACAGGTAAATGTTCATATTTCCAAGAGTTGGCAACCTGTTAGTAGTGTTGATATGCATACATTTATACTTCAGCAAATCAAAAACCTGAAGAAGGCAGTCACAAAAAGAGAGAAAGATTTAGCATGTGACTCATGACAACAGATTATTCAGCATCTTACTGAGCTGGAAGAATATATGCATAATCATTTAGGGTATTAGCTGGCCATGTCATGATTCATCATCTTCCCAGCACAGACTAAACAATGCTTTGTAGCATGCTTGCTTCCTTCAAATTTCCTGCAAGTAAAAAGAAACATTAATTTTAGACAAGACTAGTATTTTCTGACATTTTGCCATGTAACTTTATTCAAGAGAGCAGAACACTGTCTAAGAAGGTATCTTTACTTAACCAATTTCTCAGCCACCAGTATGGCCACCCATCATCTTTGTGTAGACTTTCCCATTGTTTTCTTCGTAAAGAAAAACTATTTCCGTCCTCTGTCAACAGAGGCTGTTCATCTTGTGTAAAGTTTAGGAAAATATACGGAAATGGGACAATGCTCAAGGTAAAGAGGGGAAAAAAATGAAGACATTATACAAAGTAGTCTACCTTTAACAGAACTGCCAATCAAAAGTAAGCACATTAAGTGATCAAACATGCCAAGTCCCGGCAACTAATTCAGGAATATTTTCCAACATCTGGGTAATTCTTGAAATTCAAAGAAAATGCTAGCCCTGTGACATTACACTTTGGCAAAAGCATCCACGAAAATATTACTAACTTGGCATCCCTATTTTTTTTAGAACACCCCTTTTGAGATGAAGATGCATTGTTAATATTCCATTAGGATTGCATTAATTTTTTATGAAATTTAAACAGTTTTTTTTTTTGCTTGTATGCTCAAAAAAAGTATAATATCCTACTAACAATATTTATAATAGTTGTAGTTCAGAAATACATCTGTGAGTATCTAAACATTATAAATCTCGAAAATAATATGATGTTTGGAATGAGTGAAATATCTGAAAATTCAGGAGTAATTACCCCTCATTAAGGCCCCTTTCACATTCAGTGGTACAATTAACTGGACCTGTTCAATTTCAGAGATCGACAACTGAATAGCTTGCCTGTTGCCTAAAAGAATCACCTAAAGTGCCCCCCCCCCCTTACAAGTTCCTTCAGGATTGGAGATGCTTGCAGTAATGTATTAGATTCTAAGATAAGCTGCTGGGTATACCTGGCTGTGCCAAGTGAATGTCAGAAAAACATGACAGTTATCTTACTTGTTTGTTTTAATTGATTGATTGGTTTTACATGGAGTTTATTATTGTCTAAATGAAGAATATGAACACAGTCTGTTGGCATAACAAGACGCACTGATGAGTATACTGGTTTGAACCAAGTGAATGTCAGAAAATCATGACAGTTATTGTTTTAGTAATTGAATTGTTTTTATAAGAGCGGATTCTCAACGAATTGAGCCAGGCTTTACAAAGCCGGTGACCTAAAAATGGCGGACGTACATGAAAGAAAACCACCTAATCTTTTAATAGTCTCTCCGCCTCCCCACACGTCGTCCCTGCGGGGTACAGTAATTAAATCTCGGCTCCAACCTCCAACTACGTCTACTGGGGCTGGGTAGTTCTGTGAATATCTCTGGTGATATTATCTCCGTAGATAGTCGATTCGTTGCTGCTCTGCGGGCCAATTCATTCCTTTTTCGTCTCTGTTTTGACAGATAATAAAACAGAAGAGCTTTTTTCCTTCGAACGCCTTCAGCCGCCATGCTTTCTTCACCACGAGTTTAACTGATGAGCATGCGCACTTAATATTTCTCAGGTAGCTTCCGCATGGCGAACGGAGCCGAGATTTAATTACTGTATCCCGCAGGGACGACGTGTGGGGAGGCGGAGAGACTATTAAAAGATTAGGCGGTTTTCTTTCATGTACGTCCGCCATTTTTAGGTCACCGGCTTTGTAAAGCCTGGCTCAATTCATTGAGAATCCGCTCTAAGATGTCTTCACAGTCTTTACTTCTAGCATGCAAATGCTCTGTGTAACTTCTGTACTAGTACATATGTTATATTGCTGCTATTCTTCCTCTTATCTCATACCCCCTACCCAAAATAAATTATCTTCTTTATAGCAGTTTCATTCCTTGGGGCCATTAAATGCAAAACTGTCAGTGAAAAAAATGTTCTTTTGTATTCATGTCTTGTCAAAGAGAATATCAAATTTCGGTTGAAAAAATTACCTCTTAAACCACTTCTGCTAAATTAGAACAGGGAAATACAGATCATAGCGGTGCCAAATATAATAAAATTCCTTTGGGTATTTATCGCAGGAAGGGGGAAATTTTTGAACTTAAGAAAAAATTGGTTGGGTTCAAGTCATTTTGAGGTACTTGTTGACAATTAATCAGTGAAACATGTGCCTCGTTATTGACATTCCTAAAAACTTGTTTCAGCAGAAAGGGAAAGAAAGGAATGAACAAAGTTTATTCTTGTATGAAAAACAGATTTTCAGCAAAGTTTAAAGGAAACGAGAGTAATGAAAAAGTAAATTGTAAAAATGTAATACATGTGGATGTAATTTAGCTAAAGAAAAATGCAGTAATGATATTTTCAAGTACAGAGTAAAACTGAGATTGGGAAGTGAATTATACCATGGCTAAACACCTCTCCTAAGATCGTATTTGAAAGTTGTACAGATCTTAACATTTGGTAAAATCTTATAAGTTGACGCCTACTTGGAGAAGGCAAGCTACAAACCACCAACCCCTAAGGTCCTATGATATCTGTGAAGGCATTCTTAAAATCAGAAGGATGTCAATACCTGCATTTCTGCCAGTTAGATCAGGGGATGGAATTGCAAAGTCTTGGCTAAAAGTTTGAACTTTAAGACCTGAATTTTAGTTGACTTTAATTCATAATAGATCTCTAGATGTCAATTAAAACAAGCAGGCATTGGTATGAAACCAAAGTCATTTCCTACTCATTATAAAACAGGCACAGCATTTTCTTGAAGTAAACTAACACTAATTTATCTTGAGCCAAAATGCTTTACTTTTGGTCTAAAATTTTAGAGAAATTCACTTAGTCCGTTAGTTAAACTGGCACCTAGCTAGGTGAAAAAAAGGGTAGAAATGCGGAGTACTCTGCAGTTTACTTGAACAGTTTTTTCCTCTGATTATTCATGTGTGGGCCTGGCATTGACCAGATAAATGAGGAGATCCATTCTCAAACAACCTGTGTGGGGCAACAAGAAATATTTTCATTCCCATGCCAAAGTATGGGAGAATATTTTCATTTGTCTGCCTATGTTTGACATCTTGACTCACAGGAAAAAGACGTACTTATCACTGAAGGCTGATGGTGCTTGAGGTTTGTATAAAAAAAAGGATATGCTTGTTGGCGAGAAAGTCATTAGGAAACCCTGAAGATGGTTAATGTTCCACCAATTTTGAAAAGTAACAGAGGCATTCTGCTGCTTTTTCTGGACGATGCAGAATTGCTGTAGAGTTGAGCTGTCCCAAAGTTTTATTGTATGGCTGTGAATCAAACTTATTAATCATTGTTTTTTTTTTTGTTTTTTTTTTAAATCTTTTATTTATTTTTCCCAGTTGTTTGCAAATACTTGCCAACACATTGTTTAGCCTAGGCCTGTGTGAAGAGACCAAGAAAATAGCCTGCTAAAATGCATGCTGAGTCCTCTTTTTTCTTTTCTAAAAAGTCTCAAATAAGCAACTTGTGCAGGACACAGGATTAGAGATTATATATGTGAGAAATTAAGTTTTTATCAAAATTTTTTTTTTTCATTTTATTTTGTATTTTTCTTATGAAAAGAGAGTAGACATCAGTGTCTTCATGCAAATGGCAGACAATCTAAATCTTGCCACAGCCTGGCGTCAGGTAACCCAGGAGCTAATTCTCTTAATAGGGTCGGAGAGAAGGAGTGGATAATTGCGTTGGTCTCACCAATATTATTATGCCAGAGAAAATGTGATTTGCAGTCAACTGTAGTGAAACATGGAATGAAATCACATGGGCGAGAGTAAAACGGGGAGCATGTGTTAGGTTCGGGGCCTCGGCTGATGGATCGTGTCGCCTGGGCAGCCAACCGTAATGGAGGGAATCCAATAGAGAGAAATTACTGCAGTCTGCCAAAGGCTATTACAGCAAATTTCCCCATTTTTGAAATATGAAGGTACAATTGCACATCTGGCGTAATGTATAGTTTTTTCATCTCTTTCTTTCTCTCTTTTTTTTTCCTTCTTGAAAGTATGATTAAAGGCGTTGCTGTAATCTGTGCTGCTATATAGGGTTATGTTGCCTGGTATAAGCTTAATAGCTCTCCATTAATGGTACAATGTGATGGATGGAAAGACTGCTCAGAAAGATGAGAATCTGATAATGTTCCTTAATGAAATATTCACATCTTTTATGGTCGGCTCTTTTAAAAGGCATCACTACTGAGAAGTAGTTTGGATGTTACAGATATCTTGGGAGTTAGAGAACTTAGCTAAGGCAAAATGAAATGAAGCAATTTTTTAAAAATTTTTTCTACATAAATATAACAGTTGGTGCAATTGCTTAAATTTTTTTTGTCAACAATGGTAATAGTAATTATGGTCTTATCACCAAACTAATAATAGTGATAATAATAAAGATAATTTTAATTTAAATTTGACCAAGTCACATTTGACTGTTTTTCCCCAGTTTGATGAAAATATCTCTTGAAAAAACAACAAAGGCACTATTTGTCATCCATCATAACCTTCATCAGAGTAGGTCCCAGTTAGTCCCTGTATGATGGTTTAAAATTGCAGTTCAATTGTTCCAGTTAAGTGTAGATGGATGGCGAAATTGATGTTTAATTTAGTGAAGAGAATTGCTCAGAACCGCAGAAGTGACGAAGCTGTCAAAATGGCGTGCTTTCATTATGTGTGATAACTGCATAACTGCGCCACTGCCACAGAAGAGATGAAGTGTTGGTTACGTTGTTTATAAATGAAAGGCTAAGTGGGACAAAAGTCACCGGTATTGCGAAAAAACTATTGAACAGTGATTTTTATTTCTCTCTTTGATCTCCCATCTCGGGGACTGCTCAATCCTGAGGAACTGGATGTCTTTTAACTATAGCAGAGAAAAAATGCCATCGCAGATGGTGAACCACTACTACCCTCTCTCTCCACCAACAAGTAGCACTATGCAAATCAAATTGTCTAGTCTCCCAAATACATCACAGGAACCACTCATCTGGCTACAGTGAACTCCGGGACCATAGCATTGTGGGTGCAATATCAGTGGAGGAAAAACAATCATACCTTATAATTTGATTCTTCAAACTGATCTCCAGTCCCAGCACTTTTGTGAATGTTGTTTAAACACTCTTTCTTTTTAACTCTACTGATTAATTTGGCTCGCGAAGGATTTTGGAGGCAACTGTGACGAAAGCAGAATTAGAACAGGTTTCAGCTTCAGACAAAACTTAATTATCATTCAATCAGTTGTTCCTGTAATTCCCTTTGGGTAATTGAGGCAGAATTTAATCTAGGAGAGCAAGTGTGCATTGGAAAATGTGTAAAATGTCCCTAAGCTAGAAAACATTTACCCACATGCATGCCTGCTCATGCACACATTTGCTCATGGAGATTTGTTTGTATCCTCAAATAAGTTAATAATATCTTGAGTAATGATCTTTTTGACAAATCTTAAAACCACATAAAAAAGGAGAAAAGGGAAAAATGGAAAATAAAAAGAATCAATGTTATTTCCTTTTGGAAACTCTTACAAATCACATCAAAACCACTTAAAAATAGATGAAAAGCAAATAAAAGGAAAAAATAATAAAAAGGAAAAGAACAGAAACAGCATGATTCCCTTTCAGAAACTGTGAAAAAGAAACTAAATTTTGGAAAAAGTGCCATGGTCCTGGGTTAATGGGGAGAAGATAATTCCCAGGATCAATATCACTACAGAGTATTATAAGATTAACAATAACGTTCTTCACGTCAGAAGTGCTTTCATCTCGACAAAAAAGATCTCTTCTGTTGATGACAGTCATTCAAAACGTCGAAATCTCTCAACTTGCATTTCAAAGGATTCCTGTCACGAATGGAAAACGGGAATAAATCAGGCATGCTTGACAAAGAAAAACCCAATCAAAATCTGCGAAAGTCGGATATGTATGAAATCTAACAGTTAAATATAAGTGTCAACAATCATTGGTAATAGAATTTTTATGGCCATCGCAAGCTTCCCCTTCAGGCTCTCCTGAACCTTTTTCATTAAATCTAGGGGAAAGATCCTTTATCAAATTTGTCTCAACTCTCAGGGAAGATGTGAAAATCAATAGCTCAAGATAGCAAGGACTAAAAGCTTTTTCTGTACGCATCGTATTGATCACTTATGTACATAAAGAAAACCACAGCTGAGTTTTCCTCATTTAGAAAACCAAATATCAGCTAGTTCTATCATGTTTCTTTCAGTCATTCAGCCTTTTTAGCATTCATTATTCTCCCCAACTGACCAGGCACCGAATCTTTTCATCAAGTTTGGATCAATGGAAAGAATACAATACGTTTTTTCACTGATTGCAGCTAGTAGTCTCCCAACACCTGTTCTTTTCTCCAGCTTTAATTCCATATGCCAGAAGGTGATTCTTATCCATCTCAACTTCATTAATGAACAATAAAAATCATAAAATTAATGGAATCAGCTAGCGTCTATCTTACATTTGCAAATCTTCAATGTTTTATGATACTAGCTCAAACGTAATTCTTTTTATCGCACATATGTGAGCATGCATACTTAATGTGTTTGGAAAATATAATAACAGAATGAAATCCCTTCTCTTAAAAGCTTGTTCTAAATAATTGATAATCAGATTTGTTCACTTCATCCCTCTGATACACTGGGACCATTATTTCTATAATCTAATAGGATGATGTCATGCCATTTACAGTGACTCAGCCTCACTGAGAGGTGCTAAAAGACACAGTATTCTAATGCAATAAAAAACTTTCCCATGCTCTTTGCCGTCCCCCGTGGATTTCTCCCTGTCACCCGTATTTATGGGCTGTGCTCTTGGTAATTTTTCTCTGACAGCGATGGCTTTGTGTAATGAGTCTTAACTGCCTCTGGGTTAAGCTCCTTAATTTTACTCCTGGTAACAGGCCATTTGTAGTTTATACACAACATCATATTGCATCTGAATGTTTCTAGAGGCCAGCATACACTGTGACCTTCAAGCTGAGCTACAGACACCCTATGGCTACAAGCTTCAATCTATGCTAATGTTTTATAAATTTTCATAGTCATTTCAGGAAACAATCACATCAAATGCACTTCATACTTAAGTTAACTTATAATGCCAAAGTGAGGCTAAAATTACAGAAGGGCAGATGAAAGCACACAGAATAAGTTGGGCATTACACACACACACACGTGTTGAGTAGGTAGAGCTATTTGGGCTCCGCCAAATATGTTTTGTATTTTTTTTTTTTTCATACAAGGAGTCATACAATATCACTTTTGATCATAATTCATATTTATATATATTTGCATTCCTTTGTACATTTTCATCTATCCATGTAGATGCATACGTTACAATGTGTGACACACATGTGTGACATTAAACAAATGTCCTCAGGGGGAAAACTTTAACTGGTAAAAAATCAACTGATTATCTTTTCAGTTTAATGCCTAAGCAAATTATTTGTTGTTTCATTAGACTTAAATAGGTCCCCTTCTAAGCAACATTGAGAGAAAAAATCTACTTCAATACAATGTCATTTTATAGCAAATTAATATTGCATTACACCATCTTTATTTGAATTTCTATCAAATGCAACATTCATCTTGGTTGCAATCCCTTTTTTGTCTAATAAAGGTCCCATTCCACATAATAGTGAAAAAAATAATCCATTTCAATGAAATATGCTGTGTCACATTTCGAGCTCATTAATAATGTACATCATCTTTACAAGGAATTCTTTCACATGTTCCAACCTGGTGACAATCTTATTTTTCTCCTAATAGTAACATACTGGTGGCTGCGGGGGTATTTTCTTGTCTTGATTACAGTGCACATTCTCTGCTTCCTTGTCAATGTATACTGCAATTGTTCACAGATTTCAAACATAATCGCTTATTCTAGTATGTCTTTTCAAACAAAACTTTTTGTTGCTACTTTTGAAAACACAATGGCTGACATTAGCCCAGCTCACTTGAAAAAAAAAATGTCAAAATTTTTTTCAGGTACAACTTTTAAAGGATAATTATGAATGATCAAATCTGCTGGAAATCAGAGAGTGATTTCATTGTTCATGCCCACATGAGCAAAATCACGTGCAAACAAACACACAAAAATTAAATTCTTAAACAAAACAGTTTTATACCCCATTCCCAGAGATTAGATCGATCCAACTAGATCGACCTAACTCCCTGGGGGTTCACGCTAAATAGCTGTCAACCGAGCAGGTACGAAAGTTAATTACCCCCTTACAGCTTATAGTAGGCGGGACGGACATTTAAGCCAGATTATCTGACAGTAATCTAGTGAGATTCCCCACGGGGATAGATCGATCTAAAATCTATGGGAATGCGCCCTTAGAAAAGTTTAAATTGTGAAGTGGTACTGTTAACCTACCAGTATACATGTACTGTACTAAAGCAGCTAGGGCATCAGAATCAACGTCCTTCATCCTAATCTCCTCTTGTGTGGCCTCGCGGACGTCATTTGTAAACATCGCAGCGAAGTAATCGGAAGCTGCACTAAGAATGAGCCTATGAGCTGGAATGGTGCGCTCTCCCACGAGCAGGACGACATCACAGAGTAAACGTTTTTGTGCATAGACTTCCACCTTGCGGATCATGCGTTCCGCATGGTTTATGGATCGGTACAGGTCTTCTGTGTTCTGGTCCTCCATTCTGTTACAATGGTAGCCCCCGTACGTATGGTGGACCAGGTACCTGGAATATACAAAAGATTTTTTTTTTCATTGAAAAGAAATGAAAAGAAATGGAAACAATATCACAATATTGTATGTAATCATGCACATCACTCTCCAACTTGTGAGATATGTCAGCCAGTCTACTTTTTCTAGACAGCCATTGGCAAAATTGCTGCTGGTAGTAATAAACTTTGTGCTCAGCTTCCATTTATCCTAAGTCAGACATGGCTAACAATAAAATTTAAGGAAGTACATGCGATAATATGGCATTCTCTACTCAGAAAGTGAAAACTTTCCCCCAGTTCAAAAATAAAAGGAAAAGAAAAGAAAGCACATGGGTTGCGCTGGTTGCCTCAAATTTCTTGCAGGTTGATCATTTTCAGATAACAGTTTGTACTTACATACTCACATCACATGAACAGACACGTAAAGTCAACCACATCCATAGTATTACAGTTATTTTTAGCTAAATATCATACTTTAAAAACAATGTAACCTTTCGCCACCATGCATTAGCTTCAACCACAATGTTCTAAGTAAAGAAACCTTTCCATGTTTTAAAACAATGAACCTCCTACCTTCTTCTCCACTTAACACTGGATGTATCTTTCCCTTACCCTTTATAACAGCTAATAAAGCATATACTGGTTTTATGGCATAATACAATCCACACATATATATACTATATAAGCACACCCAACAAACTTCGTAAACTTGTCACATGCTGCTTCACCACAAGACAGTTATAAATAAAAACATAATAGAGTTATAGCATGATGTCATGGAAGATTTCAAGTCTGCTATATAAAGTAAGCCAGACATGAAATACGTACATACACATATATATTTATATATAGTACACAACAATGCTACAGCTTCCTTCACTGGCAGGGACAATTACAGAATCCATAAATTTCAGAAAGGAAATCAAAATGACTGGCAGCTTCACAATGCCTCCCTCTAGACCCATGTAATTAATAATACTGTGCTCTGTAAATTGAACTTTTTTTTGCCTATTTCAGGAAAGCAGCCATGACAATCCCACTGAGCATCTGCTCTGGCAGGAACACAGCTGATCTTTTGCAATATTTATCTGCCACTCCCCGGCTGCCTCCTGCAGGCAGTTCAATTATGCCCCACTGGGTTCCTACTGAGTTATTACTGGGATCCCACTGGGTTCAAAGAGTGGGAGTATTCCCCACTGGGTTCAAAGAGTGGGTGCATTCCCTACTGGGTTCAAAGATGGGTGTATTCCCCACTGGGTTCAAAGAGTGGATGCATTCCCCACTGGGTTCAAAGAGTGGGTGCATTCCCTACTGGGTTCAAAGATGGGTGGCTTCCCCACTGGGTTCAAAGAGTGGATGCATTCCTCACTGGGTTCAAAGAGTGGGTGCATTCCCTACTGGGTTCAAAGATGGATGGATTCCCCACTGGGTTCAAAGAGTGGATGCATTCCCCACTGGGTTCAAAGAGTGGGTGTATTCCCCACTGGGTTCAAAGAGTGGGTGCATTCCCCACTGGGTTCAAAGAGTGGGTGCATTCCCCACTGGGTTCAAAGAGTGGCCTTACTAGTACTGTCTTTTTTCTATTGTTTGTCTTTCTCACTTCCACCACTCTCCTTTAATCACTCCCTTTTCCATTCTCCCTCCTCCTCCCTCTTTCTCTCTCTATGACGCACGTTTCTTCCTTAAAGTACAGCCACACTTTTAATGAATCCCCACTATTCAATTATTAAGACCCGATCCCGAGGTCACCGACTGCCATATCCTTTAGATACAATTATAGTCACAAATTACCATTCCCCATCTATTCCTTATCAAACATATATAGAGGACAGTAACTCTTCATTAACTAAATGATCATAACATATGGCACTTGTAGTACTACTCCCAAAGGGGATAAAGTATCAAGTAAATCTCATCAGTTTGGAAATGGCCTCCAAGATAATTTCCCATAAGACCCAATAAGAATACCCTTTTCAGGGATTAATAGAGAAAAGAAAAGAAACAATATTGAAAGAGGACATTTTTCATTACCAAGAATAACCATTATGGGGTATGTTGTCACAATGGAACCACTTTGAAAGAAAGGTCTCTCCTCAAAATTTGATTGAAAAAATAATTTATTATGAGAGACTATTAATTTGATATTCACAGTATTATTGGAAGGGGGGGGGGGGATGCCAAGGACATTCACAAAACTGCCTGTATTGTCCTGGTAAGTAAACAGATTTCTCCGTTTCCCTAAAACCTGCAATATAGAGCCATTTAAAAGACAAATGTTCCCAATTCATACACTGTGCAAAATTCTGCACATAATGGCCATAAAGGAACCATCTGTAATGACAGAAGACTTCTGCTTGGGTAACAATACTGTATTTACTACCACAAAGGAATACTTAGAAAATAACAAAATCAATACGACTGGTGAAGGTGAAAATGTAGTCTGTAAAAAGCATCAACACCATTTTGTATCATACTCAAGTGCAAGATGCTGCTCAATGAACACTGTCCTGTCGAAGTCCATCTTTCTTGCCTCTTCTGCGAAACCCATTACACTTTTGTTTTATTTATAACCTTTTTATACCTCTGCATCGAAGTGCCTATGTTCTCTTGCACGAAAACGTGGGGGGGCAGGGGGGGGGGGTTCTACATTTAACTGATTCGTACCATTCAGGCAAAGCTTGCAAGCAATTTATTTTGAGTAGATCACCTCCTTTTTTATTGTCTTGCTATAATTTCTGCTACAAAAGAGTCATAAGCACATCTTTTCAAAAGTTTATGCAAACGCAAAGGCAAGTATGTCCAGTTTTTACACAAATACCTGACACACACTGAAAAAAATTCCTGGATCAGATCAGTAGCTAGCCGCATATATATGGAGAGAATGATAGCCTAAAAAAACACTGATAGTGCGTAATCGCATACCACCTTCTGACATAACAGATGAACCACATACCTGCTGGAGGTGTGAAAACACATGTATGGCACAAGGAATATTTACACAACCAGGCTATATGGGTCAGAACAAATTGAACCTCCCAGATGTTATATAATTCAGGTATTCTCTGAGACAACAGTTCTCCAAAATTCACCCAAGAGTTACAGAATCTTAGACGGGCTATCCTGCGCAGCCAGGCAAATTATGACGCTCCCGAATAAACTGAAAGAGAATGAAATAGAGAAGTCTTGTCAGAACCCTTGAAGTTCAGGGTAATTAAGAGTAACTGCTGAACAGGAGCAGAAAAGTCTCTCTCTCGTTACTGTGAAACTCAAGGCGATGGTGAAGAAAATGCTGGGTACAGAAAAGTCTCTGTACTCTCTATCATTAAGGGTGATAAAATAACACACTGCAAGAAAAAATTGGCCGCTGCAATGTGGCTTTGATGTCTAAATACAAACCATCCTCTCCCAATGAGCACTAAATATGCCACATCTAAATATTCTCCCTGACATTAAAAAACCCGTAACAATATCTGATCCAAACAATTCCTCACTGGTCACTGGAGTAACTTCATCCCATCTCTCCCAAAAATCCACAGCCAATGTAAACGTCTCCCATAACAAGAATCTTACCTTTAACCAGTGATCAGCCGAAAGGTAAATGATTGAGATAACTTCCCTACTTTCCACGGTGTATGATTACAAAGCACTTGCACTTCCCCATGCTGGAGGCTGCCCTCTGGGAAACTGAGATGTTGCAAAATAGCTTTTGGAACTCGCAGAAAATCACCCAACAGAACTGCAGCTTATCTATGGAGCCATTCCACAGTCATTTGCCCTGTAGTAAACTCTATCATTCCCCATAAAGCTACTTTTATTCTCCATTTCTGCCCCCGACTCGCATTCAATATTGAATCAGCCAACTCAGAATATCTGTATTCTGTATCATACACTGACATTAATTCAAGTAAGAAAAAGAAAGAAGAAGAATGAATATCTCATTTATATTTACTGTTTTTCTAAGGACCATAATATACCTTTCATTTCTCATTTTTACCAATGCATCAAAGACTACACCTTGCTCCCCCCCCCCTCCCCCCCAACAGGCCACATGCTCTTCTCCTCAAAAGTGCCGCATGTATCTAAACCCAGACCAATGTTGTCATTTTCAAACTGGTGGGTTTCTGTAATTTCCTTTTTTCATATCCTAATTTGCGTCACAGTATATTTACTGACAGCTGTGCAGTGACAACAGGGCCGTGTGCAGATTTGTACGTTTCCTCGTACTTGGCGTCTGATGTCTGTGCACCTGGCCTGCTCTGTAGACACCCGGTGACAACATCAAAGAAATAGACATTAATGGGTCTCTTTGACAGTGTTGTTGTTCTCCTCTTGTTTTGTCAAGGTTGCATTTTTCTTAACATCACAACTCCTTATTATATGATATGTGTAACTCTGTCAAATGGCTTCATGAATAATATGCATGGCTACATGTATGGGCATATGTGAAAATGTCAGTGCATAGGTTTTTTACTTGTTACCGTTTAACCGAAAACAATAAAAAAGAGACTGATCTAAAACTTATGCTCTGCTCATAACTAAAAAGACAGTAGAGAATGGTTAATAAAGATCTTATACTGATGTATACAGAATATAGGGAGCTCCAGCCAGAAAACAACCCTTAAGATACAAAGTTCACTTCTATCAGAAATGTTTGTATATAATCAAGACAATGTTTCCCCATCACTTTACTTACATATAAGGCTTCAGCTGTGTCATAGTCGGCCATTTAGATAAATTTTTATCCACACTGCACCCAGTAGGCTTCCTTTTCATATCATCGTGCTGTCCCAATCCCCCTGGCGTATTCACCCTGTCAATCCTCTGAGGACTCGTGTCAATCCTCTGAGGACTTGAGGATGTCCTCCCGACCTCTGTACTGGTCATGGTGTGCTGTGGCTGCGTGATGGTGTCACCTCCTTGTGTCACACCTGGCTGAGGGTAATAACTACTGTGACGTCGACTGCAGGGAGAAGAGTCGCGACTGCCACCACCACCACCACCACTGCCACCTCTGCTGCCACCGTGAAACTGTTCCTCTGCAATGACTGATGTTCTCAGGTCTGCTGGGGAGCGGTAGATCTCGGCTGAACCCACTCTGGAGCTCCCTTCAGGCTTCTTCCAGCTTCCCGAGCTGCAACACCTGTACTTGCCTTTCCTCATTATTATTTCAATTCAAATCAGACCTGGCTAGGATTGTGCTGGATTATCCCAACAAAGCCCAGTGGTACTGACAAGGAATGCAGGTATTTACAACACACACTTCAACAGGAGAGATATATGTGTATGTATGTATGTATGAGACTGTGGCTACTGGCAGGCTGTTAAGATCTGCTCTCATTGGACGTCTAATCAGTTAAGGTCACAGTAATTACGTCCTCTG